CAACTGAGCTACCGGACAGGAGGTTTGCCCAAAAAAGGTGCCTTTCAATTTTCTCTTATTGACTTATAGTAGAGAGGTCGCAAAAATGACCTAGCCCTAGGTCATCGATATAAAAATCATGTGACTAACAATTTGTACGTAGGTACTGTTACCCTTATTAACTGCTGAATGTTTCAAAGCGATCCGTCACTCGGTTTAGCTATGGCAAGCATTGGAACTGTTTTTAGGTTATGTCACTTGACGTACAGCTTAGTGACTTCCTGACCTTGAGAGACCTTGGTCTGACATTTTCAGAACATGTGCAAAAAATAGGTATAAAATGGCGGCTAGGCACGTCGCCGTTTTTTTACGCGGAACGCTCCACAGCAATGAGGCTCCCAACAAATGACAAAACTGTGGATTGCTTAGGTAATTTCGAATATACAGGGTGGGCAGCATAATCGGGAATAAATATCAAACGGGATTATTTGGTCATGAATTTAAAAATATAGCTCCAGCTCCGTCGTCAGAGCCGTCGGCCGTCCCCGTTCAAGGCACGTCCCTGGCGGAAAGTGAATTGGGATGCCGTTTGCCTATCTTTGCTACTATCAGACTGGGGTGAAATGTACAGCGCGGATAGCGTGGACAAGAAATTAGCCGCTTTTCTAAATCTGGTGGAAGGTTGTGGACACTCACTGCCCCCTAAAAACTGTAACCCCTCGTCGACCACGGTGCCCCTGGATAGAGGATAATGAAGAGCTTAAACAACTCATGCGTGAAAGAGATACGGCTTTCCGTACATGGCAACGTTCTCGATCCGTCGATGATAGAGATGTGTACCGGAGATTGCGGAACCTTGTGAAAGGGCGTCTATTAAAAAGTAAACGCGACTTTTTGTCAGCTCACTTGTTATCTGATCGACGATCTTTTTGGCGCAACATATCTGAATTTGCGGTGCGTCCTGCGTGTGGGGGTAAAAAAGGCATATGTGGGATGCCGACAGAACAGGCAGATGAGTTCAATCGTCATTTCGCCACCGTCGGATCGAAAATTGCTGCGGAGCTGGCCGTCAGCGGTCCCTCTCGGCTCCCGCCAAGGCCGCCGCGTGTGACGTCAGCGGGTCTGCGCCTGAAGCCGGCTACACTATCAGAACTGTCTTTGGCGTTGCGAAAGTTGTCTGCATCTAGAGCAGTGGGGCATGACGGTGTGCCACTACACGCAATCAGAGCATGTTTTCCTGTGATTGGTCCACACTTGCTGCATATCGTGAATGCATCGTTAATATCATGTCATTTTCCATTATCATGGAAACTCGCGACCGTCGTACCACTTCATAAGTCCGGCGACATAGATAACCCGAGTAATTTCCGGCCCATCTCCCTCCTGTCGGTGCTCTCGAAGTTATGTGAAAAAGTTGTTTGTATGCAGCTGTCGTCCTTTCTTGCTACTAATCACCTGTTGGTCAATTCGCAATATGCATATAGAGCTGCTCACTCGACGGAGGATGCTTTGACCGATGCTGTCGAGTGGATGACGCGGCGCATCGACGAGGGTGACATCGTAGCTGTAACTTCAATTGACTTGAGCCGCGCTTTTGATAGCGTTGATCACGACGTCCTCCTTACGAAACTCTGCTGGTATGGAATAGATCCGAATTGGTTCCGAAGCTACCTGTCTGGTCGGCAACAGGTAGTGAGAGGCGGGTCTCTATCTTTGCCTCTGTCTCACGGTGTTCCACAGGGCTCCTTAGTTGGTCCCATCCTCTTCAGCATCTTCACAAATGATCTTCCAGCATATGTTCCCCACGGACGCTTGGTTTCTTATGCCGACGACACACAGTTACTAGATTCCACCGACCCCGCATCTCTGTCTACCCTAAAAGCGAGACAGGAGGAAAGCCTCAGTGCTGTTCTCAACTACTTCACGTCAAACTCTTTGAAAATGAACCCATCGAAGACTAGCCTTCTCATTTCTAGCACCCCCCAGAACCTGAAGAAAGCCTCAGCTTTCCATTTAAACCTACCGGGACATGTACTCAAGCCATCTTCTCAAGTGAAGATGCTAGGTGTAACCATTGATCCCAGCCTATCCTGGGAAAAGCACATTTCAAGTGTCGTCAAAAAATGCAATGCCGTCCTTATTTCTCTCTACAAAATTCGACATCACCTCTCAGCTGATGTTTTGAAACTTCTCATTCAATGTCATGTCTTCCCCCACATCATTTACTGCCTCTCAGTCTGGGGCGGGGCTGTAGGTTGTCACCTCAAGCGGGTGCAGAAAGTCATTAATTTCGCAGCTAGAATCGTATCTGGGGCGAAACACCGTGATCACATTTCCCCCGTGTTGTCTGCACTGGGCTGGCCCAAAATCACGGATTTAGTCACCTATCGCGACAACATTCGTGTTTTCAGAGCGCTGAAGGACCCGCTCGCTCCCGCGGCATTACGCACTTTGTTCACAACACGGGCGGCTGTCTGCGCGCGCCACACGCTCCACGCTGTCGGGTGCATTAGAGTTACCAAATTATCGCTTATCAATGTCGAGACGAGCTTTTTCCTACCGAGCGGCAACCTCCTGGAACCACCTCCCACCCACCACCACTAGCTCTGGAACACACGCTGAGTTTCTTCGCCACCTTGCTGCCTAGCGCTTTTGCCTTCTGTCATATCCGTGAAAATTGTGACGCGCTGGCTGCTCTGCACTCATCAGTCCACTGCGGCAGTGTTTGTGCATGTGTGCGTGTACGTGTGTGTGTGGGGGGGGGGACGGGCTAGGTGTACCATGTCTTTTGTGTGTGTGATCGAATCAAATACTAAACCATGCAATGGAATGATTCGAAATACATTGAACTGAACTGAAGACCGTTTTTACTGATGATAAGTTGTTCATTAAACTTCTACCAAAAAACGCTCCATATAAAGAATTTGGTCGGATTTAAATCGGCGGAGTTGAAGGACCAGAAGTTTTTGGTTCATCTCAGGTGGAGGTGCCCTACACAATAACATGTCGTCCTCACTGCAGTACCAGCACGGACAGAGTCCTCGTAAGACGTGATCTGGACCGTCAGTGATCCTCTCTTCCGACGACTCCACGTGAGTCTGCCAGAGTGTGGATGTATTTACCAGAGGTGCTCGTTTTATCCGGGCTCGATGAAGTAGGGTGCACCACGTGCACCTCCCTTGAAGACCACCCATAGGTCCATCACCTCAACAGGATGTTTACTTTGCATGACCGCTGCAATATTCTCGATACAATCCCCTATATGGCATGCCATTCTTTTTTATCGTATTCCAGTCGGTGATAAGATTTTTGGTCGCTGAAGTTTTGAACATTGTTTCTTTTTAATATGCTCAAGAGCTTCTTCCTTATATTCAAGTGAGTCATCTTGTATGTCCTCTGCTAAGAGTTATTTTACGACGATTACGTTAACTTTTTGTCCTAAGTATCCCCACACAATCCTTATCGTCCGTGATAACACGTTGATCTGTCCAGCAACCTTTACGTGGAATGGCATTGTTTTAAACAAAATGTTCTTGTTTTACTCGTTTAACATTAGTGTCTATGGGCGCGCGCAAAGCACTTGGAGCACCGTCGAACTATTTTGCTGCTCTTTTCCAGGAAGTTGCATGCTCATGGATGTAGTCATGTCAGATGATGCACAACTTTTGGGCGTTTCATTGCCATGATATAATTTATCAAAATAATGCCATGCCTACTCATGACCAGAGCCCAAAAAGCATTCCCGATTATGCTGCCCCACCCTGTACCTAGGTAGGGCGGTGGGCGTCTTACCCGACTGGGCATCTTGCCCCGTGTTACCCCACACCATGGCCATTGGCCACACTGCATATGCTTATGCATGCATTCAGTTCAGGGGGTTCAATCTAATATCAGCATATCGACCCAAAATATCAGCAGCCAGTGGTCAGCTCCTTCCTTCGGAATGGCCGTCACGGAAAGAAGCCCTGCTTTTCGTCCATATAGGCATCGACGCCGTATTAGATTTGCTCATCGCTACATGCTTTGGGAGGGGCAAAAAGATAGTCTTGCCCACACGATTTGGCTTTGGGGAGGGCAAATGCCCATTTGCCCTCCCCTGGATCCGCCACTGTTAACATTAGATCTGCAATGTGCAATATGCAATATTCAGCGGTCTGTAAAAGAGACATTATTCCTGTCATATAATCCTTGGGAGGGTTTCGTCAACATTTGGCCCTTTTCACAAATTCCGAAAAACACTACCATACGTCCTCATAGCTGCATGTTAGGATTCTCATCATTCCCCCCCAACCCCCTAAATGGCGGATTAGTAAAGGTGGTATTGAACCCTGCGGAGACTTGCTTTCCAAAAAGGTTCTAAATATAATTTTTATGGGTTCACTGTTCGAAATTAGTCTGTAGAGCTCTTATGGCAATTCTCATTAGTTTTGATGGCTTGAAACGTTATTTTCAGCATTGTTATGATGATGATTGCGGCAACTATGAACGATAACCTCGTGGTCATGTCAAAAAGGTCCGAAAAATAAAATCCAGACACACAATGGAAGATTTTAGATTTTGCTCCTCTGCCTCTCATCATGGATTTCATTTTTCGGCCATCTTTTAGACATGAGCACAATATGGTTATCATTCATACTTGTTGCAATCCTAATTTGATGATATTGAAACATTTTATTGCGTAATGTGATAAATAGGGCGAATGTTAAAATATCGCTATTATTGGTAGGTTTTGGGACCTACCAGGCCTACGTAAAACGACAACGATGCGTTCTCCAAATTTCCTTGGATTACGCTTCTGCATATCTTCATGCAGTCGCTCAGTTATCATTCATAAACACTTTTCTTTTGACAACTGTCTCGTGTGTGCGTTAACCCATTGTGATAAACTGTTGTGCGTGTTAGCCTGTGAGTTTGGGGCGACAGCACCCGGATCGTGAGATTTTATATCCCTTGTGAGATTTTATATCCCATAGTGAGATTTTATATCCCTATTTTGTGACACTCTGTCTCCCGTTTCGCAGGATCTCCCGTTACCGTGGAGGAGTTCTTTATGAAGGTAAGGCGAAATGATGGTACCTGTTACTCTAATAAATGTTGACACATTGAAGATTGCCTGCCCTTGCCTACTGAAACGCTGTTTAGGCCCCTTGATAGATGACCTTAGGTTATACGACCTTTATCAGGCAAATTAATGTGTGTGCATTTCCGTTTGAGCCTGATACAAATGACCATTATTAAATCAATGCGACCATAATTGCCCAGTACATGTCAAAGGGCTAATGCAAAGACTAAAAATTCAAGATGCCTTGCCGAAAAATTGTTCTGATGATTTAAAGGCAAATTGATCAGTCTCGTCAGTGGCTTTAAATGTCGAGGGACAGCGACGACCGATTGACTTTTTCTCTTTGATAATGATGTTGACACACGGGCTCGTCTATGATTTTAGGCTACTAATAAGGCTATTTTAGGCTCATCTAGGCTATTTTTCAAATATGCCCACACGATGGCTTATTTCATTCTAATGAAAAGCTGAACGAAATCCTACGATTTAAATATTGCGGGTCTGCATTTTAGTTGTTACTATCTTAATGGTCACTTTACTACTTTTTAGAAACACTGTTGCGTTTACAATTTGCATTCGCCCCGCCGCACTATATGGCCGTTGCTGGAAAATTCTCACAAGTGTCTCGTGAATGCAATAGCCGGAAGCACCTCTGCTCATAAAAAATGGCTCTGTCGCTTTTCTGTGTTCAGTGTGTTTTTTGAGGTGCGCTCAGGATAGAAACTTGATAGGTGTGTCCTTTTGAACCTGATGGGACTGTATTCTATCATTTTTTTCTCATCCTATCATCCTTTCCTAGCAGCCTATCATTTCATCTTATTCTGTCATTTTATACAGTTGTTCTTCTGTGATAATTCTGTTTCGGCGGGCTAGCCCGTTCAATTTGTGCTCTCTATTCTATGGTGTTCTATGTAAGTAGGTATGTATGTTGCATTGCTATGCTGTATGGCTTGTGTTGTTTGTCTTTGTATTCCTGCGTTGTATGCCTTGTGTGGTTTTTATTTGTGTTGTTAGATGCGTCTCTGCTCTGATGACGGACGGGTATTGTACTGCGGGTCTGCTGCTGTGTCGCTGCGACTCTACGTGTTTGGTCCTGTCCAGGCCGTAGTCACTAGCATACCTGTAACGTGTACGTTTTTCGTGATGTAATCGTGTAAATGGTGCCCCTTTTTTCTTAGAATGTCTGTAATATAGTAACTATATTGTGTTAGGATATTTTATCACATTGAGGATAAGTTTATTTAAAAGAAAAGATTTCGAAACTATGTAATAGATGACGCCACCTGGTATTTATCGCCTTGTTCCTGTCCATCAAGCGCCCCTGTTGTGGTTTATTACAGATTGAATCCGACACCAACACTCGCATACAGTGGCCGAGAGACTGCTCCTCAAAACGAGGTAAGAGGCGGGGGGACGGCGACACCGGAATGTCTACGATAGTGTTTGAAGAGAGTAGTGTCGTGTTATATGGCGTCATTGATGTGTCAAATGAACTCACTGGTGTGCTTCATTCGGAGATGCCTGTATCCTACATAGCACACGAGTGACTTCACTCGTGTGTTATGACAACGTCTGATGTATCATATGACGTCACGTATGTGACGTATGACGTTACTGATGCAATATGACGTTACTGATGTAATATGACGTTACTGATGTAATATGACGTTACTTATGTATCGTCTGACGTTCCTAATGAGTTTATGACGTCAGTGGTGTGTCATATGACTGCATTGATTTGTTATTTGACATCAGGCATATTTTATGACGTCACCAATGAGTCATGTAACCTCACTGTTCTGATATTTGACGTCATATGTGTAATGTGTATTATATGTCGTCACTGATGTATTATACGCTGTCACTGATGATGTTATGTGACGTCACTGATGGTGTTATGTGACGTCACTGATGGTGTTATGTGACGTCACTGATGGTGGTACGTGACGTCACTGACGTGGCCGGCGGTCAGACCCCCAGGTTCGTGTCATCGGTCTCTCTAGTGACGTGGACGCGGCCCGGTCCATCATCCACCGCGAGCTCGGAATAAGGGTGAGGTCAACGTCAGTCACTGGTGTAATTTTAAGGACGACACTGTCGCCATGTCTTTCCTATGCCTATATGAGAAGCATGGCACTCAATGATTTGCCTGATTGGTAGCTATAACTTGTCGGTAATTGCAAAAAGTGAGCCTTGAATAATTGCATCTATAATCAGCGGGTGTCAGCTAAGGTTTCTTATAGTTTTATTACGGTTGAATACTTGTGCATATGTACCTATCGATGACTTTTTCCCATAATCTTTAACAGAAGTGTGTGATGGCTGCTGTGGCTACGATGAAACATAAACTAAACTTGTGTTGCAAGATTACATAATTCACATAAATATTTGACAGCGCTGTTGAGTGATAGATGCCTCGTTAGTTTGACCTTTACAACACCAGTCAATAAGGTCGATATTTTCGTTCCAGAACATGAACCGAGCGTCTCTAAAGGTGGACGTCAGCTATACCGACCATAGTCACATGATCGGCGTAGGCGGAAAATGCAGCAAGGACCTCTCCAATCGGACAAGTCAGTAACTCTGATTATGGAAATTATCTAAAGCGTAAATGCCCTATAAAACCTATCGATCAATTTTTTTGTTGTAGCCATTGAAAGGCCCTGCTTAAGTTGCATTTTTTTTTTTAAAGTTTGCGGGCAATCCATCAACGTCATTTGCCACGGTTTTTCTGTTTTCTGTTGTGTTGAGCAGTGTCAACTTCCCAAGTGTCGATGATGTTTTTGTAACTATTCTAGGGTACTTCTATTTCCAAATATGTATATTGTATATGCACCATTCCTATTTAATTTACGTATTTTCACCTATATTTCAGATAATGGGTCTAACTCTAGACTCTAGTGTTCCAATAGCTTGTTTAGCTATGCTTTCGCATCAAAAGTCAATAACCGACGAAGAGCTGTGCTCGAAATATCTCGATTTTTAATACAGTAATTTATTTTGGCAATTTCATATTTCCATACAGAAGTGAGGATAAGGTCAGCCAGATGCGCATACTTCTCATGATGATATTCCTCAGAACGCTTAACCACTTACCTCAAAATATCATCGCAATCAACACATCGAGTTATGTTTCTTTGGTTGTGTGTCAGACTGTCATATCCATATTTACGTTTGTCTGTTTCAGACTGAGACTTCCATGTTTGTTTGTCTGTTTATGTTTCAGACTGTCATATCCAAGTTACGTCTGTTTGTGTTTCTATCCAAGTTATGTATGTTTGTGTTTCAGACTGCCATATCCAAGTTATGTCTTTTTGTGTTATAGACTGCCATATCAAAGTTATGTTTTTTATGTTTCAGACTGCCATATCCAAGTTGTCTGTTTATATTTCAGACTGTCATATCCAAGTTATGTCTGTTTGTGTTTCAGACTGTCATACCCAAGTTATGTCTGTTTATGTTTCAGACTGCCATATCTAAGTTATGTTGTTTGTGTTTCAGACTGTCATATCCAAGTTGTCTGTTTGTGTTTTAGACTGTCATATCCAAGTTAAGTCTGTTTGTGTTTCAGACTGCCATATCCAAGTTACGTCTGTTTGTGTTTCAGACTGCCATATCCAAGTTATGTCTGTTTGTGTTTCAGACTGCCATATCCAAGTTACGTCTGTTTGTGTTTCAGACTGCCATATCCAAGTTATGATATGTTTGTTTGTGTTTCAGACTGTCATATCCATTTCCCTGACTGCAACAAGCAGGCTGACTGCGACAAATCCAACTGCGTGTCTCTATCCGGGGAGATCCCCAACATCGAGTACGCGCGCATCGGCGTACGGGTGAGTGGAACCGGCCACTAATTTATTGCGCAGCTAAATACATCTAGAAGGGGTGACAGGAACCAGCCACTAATTCGTAACCTACGTCCTACACCCTGCAGAACGGCGGAAATTTTCATCGTGAAAAAAAAATGATTGTCAGAGACAGGTTTATCCATCTTACCTTTTTAAAATGTTTTATCGGCGCTAAATGCCAGTGTCTTGAGAGATGCTAGATTGGGTTGCGTGGAGTTAGGTTTTTTTTTTTTTTAGTCTGGCCGAAAACTGTAGACAAATTGTGGCCAGATGGAAAATATGTCTTATCTTCCACTGCATTTAGCATGCTAGTCGTGTTACCCCACTCCCACCCTCTGTCTAACCGCTCTGCTGCTCTCCCCACAGCTTCTTCAGCCGCTGGTCTTCATCGTCACTCTGCCTCACTCCCACCCTCTGTCTAACCGCTCCGCTGCTCTACCCACAGCTGCTCCAGCCTCTGGTGTTTATCGTCACTCTGCCTCACTCCCATTCTCTGTTTCACGGCTCCGCTGCTCTGCCCACAGCTTCTTCAGCCGCTGGTGTTTATCGTCACTCTGCCCCACTCCCACCCTCTGCACCGGAACGGAACACTGAGAGAAACCAAGGACATCCCGGACCCGTGGAAAACGCACATCGAGTGGGCAGAGAATCGGTTCGGCGTCAAGGTCGGTAGAATCTGGGGCTAAGTCGGTAGAAACTGGGGCTAAGACGGTAGAAACTGGGGCTAAGTCGGTAGAAACTGGGGCTAAGTCGGTAGACACTGGGGCTAAGACGGTAGAAACTGGGGCTAAGACGGTAGAAACTGGGGCTAAGACGGTAGAAACTGGGGCTAAGACGGTAGAAACTGGGGCTAAGACGGTAGAAACTGGGGCTAAGACTGTAGAAACTGGGACTAAGTCGGTAGACACTGGGGCTAAGTCGATAGAATCTGGGGCGAGATCAGTAGAAATTTGGGCGAAGTCAGTAGTGATTTGGGCGAAGTCAGTAGGATTTGGGGCGAGGTCAGTAAAACTGTGTCAGGGTCGTGGTCCGTGGAAACATCTCAATGCCGTGGATCTGGGTAAAGGTGTTCGGTGATGTCACAGGATCGATGACAGGCTCCCGGGTTCTATGTTTAACAGCTTTTGGGGGTCAATGTAAGGCTGATCTTTAGTGTTGTAACAAAAGTTATACTGGCTATGAAGCTGAAATGTGGTTAATAATATATAATGGTTATGAGTAGGATTTGATACCGTTTTGCTTGGTATATTGTGCTGTGAAACTAACGCTGACGTTATAAATGGTGAAGTGTAGTTTGAATGACTAACGTTAACGTAATAAAGAAAGACGGAATACTTAACGCATTACCTATGTTCAATGTGTTCGTAACTATCTGTACCTACACAGCCACGCCATGTGTGAATCGCCCACGATCGTATATATAATACAATACATATAAGCTACGTTGTAAATACCAGTATACGTAAACCAGTATAGTAAGCCTTGCCGGAGTAAAATGCACTCCTAACCGTGGTGATGTATCACAAAATCCGTCTGCCCTCCGCAGGTGAACCCAAAGGCCAAATCATCGAACCAATACACGGCCCTGTTCATCAAGGGATCCGAGGAGAACTCTGAGAACATACAGGTGGGTGGGCCGGCCACTACAGGGCAGTGGCGGATCCAGGGGGGGGGGGCAAAATGTGTATTTGCCCCCCCCCCCCCCAAACGGCATAATTTTAACATTACGCCTATGGACGAGGCATGGAAAGAATCGATAAATTGTTATGGTGTGCCCCCCTTCCCCCAAACTCTGAGCTGGATCCGCCTCTGCTACAGGGTCATGTTACGGTGTGATCATTTATGTTGCCTGAACGCAACATACGTCTAGCTAAATTGAACTGGTGTGGAACATCACTGTTCTATTTCCTTAGTGCATTTTTGTTGCCTCTGACGCCGTAGGTATATGGCGAAGCTTCCCAGTTTGCCTCTCCGTTCATTCTTTGTTGTGTCGATTCGTTTAGGTTTTTCCTTTGATTTTTTTTTCGTTCGAATTTGACTTGTGGATTGATTTTCTCAAAACCCGATCTCTTGATGTCCGACTTTTTCCCACCTGAATTATCATGTATTTGCCCTGGGAGCCTCTCTGAAAAGTGGGATCTGACGAATGACGTCTCTGGAAACGTCGTCTCTTCGTCTCTTAGAAACGTCGAAAACGGACGTCTCTTGGCTCCTCTTAGCCCGACCTTCCCTTCCCTGACCTTTATCTACCCCCCCCCCCCGACACCCAGGCGGCAACTGAGATGATCATCAACGAGCTTGTACACCGGTACTACCCCCACGAGCCGGGTCATGTTACCAACTCGATGGAGATATCCATACACCATCACAAGATCGTCCAGGGCAACGTCAAACTGGTGATGCAGAGAACGGGTAAGTGGGGGAAAGGTGAGGGAAGGTGGGGAAAGGTGGGGGAGGGTATTTGAGAAGGAAAATGGTGGGATGCATCATGTCTATTTGATTGGTAGCAGTCGCAGTAGATTGATAATGACTATGAATATCTAGGGATGGCGCAAATTGCTAGAAATGAATGAATCAAAGAGATAATGAATGAATGAATGAATGAATTAACCCGGCAGTTGCTGGGGTATTTCGCCACCCACCGTTTGCTGGGGGGGGGGCGTTAAACGCCCCCAGCCGATAACTCGAGAACCAAAAGGCGCAGCGAAACGCACGAGGCGGCAAACGAAAGAGCGCGACGAGACGCTTCAGATGAGTACTTTAAAGTTGAATTTTGAGGTCATAGGTCGGGTCAAGGTCAGGTCAAACACCTGAAATCGGGCTTTCAGTAGCATGGACTTCAGGACTTCACAATGGGCGCCTCTCGCCATAAACTCTGTCAAAACGGTGCACAATCCATCTTATAAGGCCTACAAGAGTGTCAGCTCCATATAAGGGTCAGTCAAGCATAGGTCAGGGTCAAGGTCAGGTCAACCGGGTAGGCACATATGCCCGAAAATCAAAACTGATATTCGCAGCCTGTGACACAGGTATTATAGGTAATTTGGGGCGTAGAACACGATGGTGACATTCATTTTATCATATGTGTACGTGTTTGACTCAAAAAGTTCAATTTAAGAAATTCATGTATCATGGTCGTGAGGTAGTCACGAAAAATTGCCAAGATTCAGTTCCAGATTTTGGAAAATGCGGAACGATAATCAATAATCGAAGATAGCCATTTGATTGATCATGGTATTGGCAGTCTAATGGCGTTTACGGCATGTCTGTATGTCTATTCTGTGATTTTATATGATTTTTTTGAACATATGCCGTTTTTGGTCGAAAACTCAGAAATCATGACGTCACGAAAACCTCGATATCTCACAAATTTTCCGACCGATTTTTTTGAAACTTTGTCACAATAAACTTGAATCAATTCCCTACAGGTACCCAAAATTTGGCGCGCCTGCGGCGCGCCGTTTTTATGCTATGGCCCAGCGAAAAAAGTGGGGGCGTTTAACGCCCCCCCCCCAGCAACTCGCGGGTTAATGAATGAATGAATGAATGAATGAATGAATGAATGAATGAATGAATGAATGAATGAATGAATGAATCAAAGCATGGATGAATGAATGAATGCGAATAAATACAAATGAATGAATATGGAATAACTGAATATGAATAAGTTTGACTGAATGAATTTGAGTATGAATGAAAATTAAATGAATGAGTGAAAACTATGAATGAATGACTGACTAAATCAAATGGCTCTAAATCGCCTGAACCAATGACATTGAATCAATGACTGAATTAGAATCTACCGGTCGTTCATGAATCACAAACCACTGACCAGTAAGCACCCACCATATAAACCGCTACGGGCTACAATGTGCTGTGTCATGGACCACTATATATCTGGATATATAGTGGTCTATGGCTGTGTGCATATGGGCGCCTCCTGTTACCAAGTTCTTGGCGTTACTCGCTGTGAAAAATAGTGATCTAGTTCCATCTGCAAGTACCGTGATTCTGTTTCTTACGGTCCAGATGAGCTATTATTTTCTCAGTCTCGATCTGTGATCACCCGCTGTGACGATCTTCTTCTATGTGGTGCGATCTTTTTCTCTCTTCTACAGGCGTTTTGATTATCTTCCCCGTGACCCCAGGAAGCTTTTTTCTATATAATAAAAATAATATAATAATTTTTCTCTATAAAGTCTCTATAATATGTTGCTCTCCTCCGCAGGCGCTGTGATCCTGTTTCCTGACGCTGAGGATCGCAACATCCCACAGCAGAAGAAGAGCAGTGTAGTCATCTGCGGCACCGTCCGTGCCGTCTACCGCGCCCGGCAGATGCTGATTGTGAGTACTAGGTAGTCCTCCACCGACTTCTACCGGGCCCGGCAGATGCTGATCGTAAGTACTAGGTAGTCCTCTACCGACTTCTACCGCTCGGCAGATGCTGATTGTGAGTACTAGACAGTCCTCTACCGACTTCTACCGCGCCCGGCAGATGCTGATCGTAAGTACTAGGTAGTCCTCCACCGACTTCTACCGCGCCCGGCAGATGCTGATTGTATTAGACAGTCCTCTACCGCCTTCTACCGCGCACGGCGGATGCTGATTGTGAGTACTAGGCAGTCCTCTACCGATTTCTACCGCGCACGGCAGGTGCTGATCGTGAGTCCTACTAGACAGTCTTATACCACCGTCTATACATAGATGATGCTCGTAAGAACTAGACAACTGACAAGCCTCTTCCGACTTCTACCGCGCCCGGCAGATGCTGATTGTGAGTACTAGGTAGTCATCTACCGACTTCTACCGGGCAGATGTTGATCGTGAGTAACTCCGTTCTTTTTAAGCAAACAAATGCTGGCCGTGACCCTGTTCTTCTACTATCCTCTCGGTTGTACTTCTGGTCCCCCGTGACGCCTACAGCTTAATGATGGTCGTATGCGTGTATAACATTTTACATGCCGATTGTTAGTGTCATCTTCTTGCGATTCCTCTTGCGGTTTTCGTATTTCTCACGAGTGGACTAATTTTTGCTTCAATTGAAAAGCCAAATGTGCTTTTAACCCGCGCGGGGCTGGGGGGGTAAATTTTACCCCCCCCTCGCGAATTTTTGCGATATCTCAAAAACGACGGCGCGCAGCGCCGCCAAACTTTCAGTACCTTTTCTTACATCAATTTGACACCTTCCCTGAAAATTTGAGCGAAATCCGTCGGAAAATTTTTGAGAAATTGACGTTTTAGTGACGTCATGTTCGCCATTTTCGCCTCAAAAACGGCAAAAGTTCAAACGCCGCTAACATCTTCATTTTTAAAGGAATCAAGACGTAACAAAAAAGGTTATACGTAATTTTACTTTGTCTATCAAATGGCTATCTCGGTTTTTTGAAAATTTTGGATTTTGGACTAAATTTTTTCAAAAAACTGATTTTTTTGGGAAAATCATTATAAAATCCAAAATTTTGAGTCTATCGAAAAAAAAACGGAATATATGTCACAGAAGTGGTCTATGTGCACCTACATACCAAATTTTAGAAGAATCGGTTCAAAAATGTGGGAGTTATTCAAAATTTTATGACGTCACGACACACAAAATTTTTGAAAAATGACTTTTTTGGAAGTTCTAGACCTCGTACGGAAACAAAAATAGCACCATTCGATTCGCCGTGAAAAACTGCATCAGATAGACACCTTTTTAGGCCTTAACAACCAACTTCAAAATTTGACCTCACTTGACCTGACCTTGACCTGACCTCGACCTGAAATTCATCCAGAGGTGGTCCATACCACTTATTGAGTGTGCCTATTGAATTCTATGAGTAAAATGACCCATAAAACATGTGTCGCACATGCCCTTTTCTATATTTTGTTTTTTGGTGACCTGACCTGACCTGACCTGACCTGACCTGACCTTGACCTTGACCTCTGAATAATATTGTATGCAACTAATATTGTCTTGGTAGCCTAAGAACACGTTTTGGGCGATCAGTCTCAGTCCATGACTCCATTCTTCGGCAACTACGGTGCAAGGCCGATACTGTAGAAACTTGCAATTTGTACCCTTGACCTGACCTTGACCTTGACCTCAAACTTTAAATTAAGTACATGTTTTTAGTAGTTCGTGATGAGAGCTTTCGATTGGCGTTTGAATTTTCCAAATCGGACCATTAGTTCGGGAGATAACAGGGGGGGGGGTAAAATTTACCGCCCCCCAGCCCCGCGCGTTCGGCTGGAGACCCCAGCCCCGCGCGGGTTAAGTTAGCTGTGCTTGAAACAGCGGTAATCATGCGGTCTCATTCGCCTTCAGTAACTCTCATCAATGGAACAGTCCAATATGAACATCTATACCATCAAACTATCACTATCTTATATCTAATCTCATTCACCCCTCTCCTCTCTCCCATTTCCAGGGCTCTCTGCCGATCAAGATGACTTTCGAGATGCAGCCTAAGCCTGACACCTGGTGGCCGGACCAGGAAACACTGCGACAAATGGAGATAGAACATGACGTCAGCATATCTGTGCCGCAGAAGAACAGGGACAACGCCGTGCTGGTGACCGTCATGGCCATGGAAAGGAACATAGGTGAGTTTGGGGTGTAGTAATACTCCTTTTAGGGTGTTATGGTACACAGAACAGGGATAACGCTGTCCTGGTGACCGTCATGGCTATGGAAAGAAACGTGAGTTCCATAGGGTGTAGTTACTAGTTATACACCCATACATAGTGTTGTGTTACAAGGAACGGTGATCGTGTCGTTCGGGTCAGTGGCCACCGTGAATCGTAGGATTGCCATTGAGAGGAATAAGTCAGCATGGGGCGTATTTTTATAGTATGGCGTGATGGGTCACAAAACACAGAATTTGGTTACATTTGGTTGAAATAGTTTGTGGCCATCCTTATTGTCATGAAAAGAAACACCCTTTAAATACGCGATTCTTATCATATACGCTCATATAAGCATCATATAAGCGTATAACCTAACCGGTCTGTGTAATCGTACCCCTTCACTGAGTGTTACTCTTATACCCCCAGGCGGGGTGTACGCGGCCCGCCGAGACCTTCTGGGCCTGTCCGGCCCCACTGTAGTGCCCGGTGTACCCGCCTGCTACCGGTTTGACGGGGCGCCGCGGCTGCAGGGGCCGCATGGTCTGCTCACCATGATCTCACATCAGGTGAGAGAGGGGAGGGGAGGGGAGAGGGAGAGAGAGAGAGAGAGGGGGGGGAGGGAGAGAGAGGGAGAGAGATGGGGGAGAGAGAGAGAATGAGAGAGAGGGAGGGAGAGAGAGAGAGAGAGAGAGAGAGAGAGAGAGAGAGAGAGAGAGAGAGAGAGAGAGAGAGAGAGAGGGAGGGAGAGAGGGAGGAAGGAGGAAAAGAGGGAGATTAAGAGGGAGGGAGGGAGGGAGGAAGGGAGGGAGGGAGGGAGGGAGGGAGGGAGGGAGAGGAGAGAGGGAGGGAGAGAGGGGAGAGGGAGAGAGAGAGAGAGAGGGGGGACAGGAGGGCGAGACAATATCGCTTGTTTCAGTGGCGGATCCAGGATTTTCACTGGGGAGGGGCTGCAGGTCATAATTGGGCGCCACGCCCCGGATGGGCGCCATAGTCGCATCGTATTGGCGCTGAAATATTGGCGCCCAGTGGCCCTGACAAGAGGCGCCCAGGATCAGTATGTACAGTGACACCACACGATTGGAAATATCGGTGCGGAGCGTACTGAAACGACGTTAATCGACTGATTTTTGCATCCTAGTCCTAGTATGCGGCACTCCGATGAGTTGCGAATTGAAAATTGGCGCCACTGCGCCTTCGGCGCAGTGGCGCCAGTTTTCCTTGGGTGGGGGCTGCCAGCCCCCGCAGCCCCCCCCCCCCTGGATCCGCCACTGGCTTGTTTAGGGGATATGGTTGCGTCATTAGGTGCGGGAGACCGGAGCTTTTCGCCTAAGTTGACATATTGGGCGTGAGGTTTGAAGAGAAATATCACATGCACAATGAGTTAAACGTGTGTGTGTGTGTCATGTCAGGTGGTCGAAATGTGGCAGGTACTCGCGTCGGATGGCAATGGTGCTCCCTGGTCAATGTCATGAGTGCAAGTCACATAACCTTACCTGACACATGACTGACACATGACTCATGACACCACCTGACAGCACGTAAAATGACACCACCTCGTTACCTGACTCATGACACCACCTGACAATAAACTTACGTCATCTCCGGAGCTAATCCCCCGCTCCCCCTCTCTCTCTCTCTCTCTCTCTCTCTCCCTCTCTCTCCAGGTGCGCCGCACTCTGCCTCCCTTTTCCCCGGTGTGGCCGCCCCCGCCCCCTCCCCCGTCCCAGCACGGGCCCGCCTGGTCTCCGCTGGCGGCCGCGCTCGGCGCCTCCTCCCCTCTGGCGGCGGCGTTCGGAAGCAGTAGTTACGGCCTGCAGACGCTAGGGGAGCTGGGGTCGGCTCTGGGGGACGTCAATGCGAATGGACTGCTGACGCCAACACCGGGGCTGCTCGGAAGGTAAGGATGGGAAAAACGCAGGGCTCTCCTATGTGTCACCGTATGAGCTGTTTTCGGGTAGTGTCGACTGCTGATGAGTTTGTAATGCTCAGTATCGTCCATGGGCGCGGGAACCGGGGGGGGGGGGGGCAGTGGGGGGAGCTTGCCCCCCAACTCTATGGCCGTGGGGGCAGTGCCCCCACAAATTTGAGACGGAATACCGCACTTTTTTGCAAATGTTTTCCTTTTTTGTTGAAAAAAGCCAAGGGATGAAAATAAGTGGCCTAAAACCGGCGAGAAAACAAAATTTTGGGGTACCCTAGGTTGATCTCTATCATGGTGTGCCCCCACAGTCTGAAAGTAGTTCCCGCGCCCCTGGTATCGTCTTGTGTGACCTTGTCCTATAGGTCCTGGCTGGCCCATTGCTTCACTTTTTGTAGTGTTTTCTCATATTTACTGGATTGTCTGTCGTGAATGACTGTTATCTTTCTTTCTTTTGTTATATAGGTCCGATTTTTGTCTTGCTCGACCATTCTATTATGCGTGCGTACCTACCTGATCATGGGTTACTATAATGGCAATGAATTTCAAGCTGGATTAATATAGAGGATTGTTGAGGTCAATTCATTAGCGTTCAATGCCAGCAAGCTGACGATGACATCCATCATGACTTCATGAGCATGACCTGCAAAGTGCAACTAAGCTCGCGATCCCCGATGCCCTGACAGCTTCGCTCCCGAGTTCAGCACCGGAGGGACATGGGGCGCCACCTGGACCGGTGGTGACAGAGACAGTGCTGCCACCTACAGCCAGCCGGTCGGTGTGAGCAGCGCTCTCAGCCAGTTCATCCAGAACGCCACCATGCAACAGAACGGTGAGAGAGACTGTGCGTGCGTTCGGCATCCGGAAAATGAGGGATAATTATCCGGGACCACCGGTAAAAATTTGGTATTGCAGGGACCATCGATGCAGTCACCAAGTCACATTTTAGATGGGTTTTGCATCACTCATGGTTCTTTTACTCGTTGTCCCGTTGTTCACGGCCGCGCCAAATTTTGGGCACCTGTAGAAAATTGATTGAAGTTTATTGCGACAAAGTTTCAAAAAATCTGTTGGAAATTTTTTGAGATATCGAGGTTTTAGTGACGTCATGATTTCTGAGTTTTCGACCAAAAACGGCATATGTTCAAAAAAAAATCATATAAAATCACAGAATAGACATACAGACATGCCGTAAACGCCATTAGACTGCCAATACCATTAACCCGCGCCCTGCTGGGGGGGGGGGTGTTTGAACACCCCCCCTTGTGGTTTTTCGCGAATATCTCAAAAACGGCGGCGCGGAGCGCCGCCGTTTTTGGTACACCTTATCGTACATCAATTCTACACATGTTGTGAAAATTTCAGACCAAGGTCATTCAAGGTCAGGTCACCAGGTCACTTGAAGTGACCTCACCTCATAAAAAGTTTCAATGTCTGTCATAGCTACACCGAGTGACCGATCGCTTTGAAACTTTCAGCGATTGCTAAGAGCAATAGCATGTACAAATTGTATATCTCAGAATTTTGATATCGATGACCTAAGGTCAGGTCAATTTTGCGACCTCCCCATTATAAGTCAATGGGAGAAAATTGAAATGCGCCTCTTTTGGACAAAAGACATTATAAACACTCCCAAACACCGAATTACAAGTGGTTCAGACACACTGAACATGAAAATGGTGTCAGTGACCCTTGTTTATGCCCTGAGGTCATCTTAGGTCACGAATGGTATCTAACAGTTTTTGGCGAATAACTTTTGATAGAGGCATGCTAGAGCGATGAAAACGCCTTAGATGTGTTCAGCTTGACGATACGGATCGACTGATATGCAGCATGACCCTTTCCGGTCAGGTCATGACCTTGACCTGAGGTCAAATTTTCAAGTTGACCTTTTAAGGTCAACTTATAGTTCATTCGATGCGTCTTGACGAGAGGAACACAATGCCGGTAAAAGTAAGCTCGTACAAGGCTTGAGTCAAAAGTTATTGCAGAAAACTGTTTCCGAAAAAATCGGCTATTTTTGCAATTTTTGCCCCCTGCAGGCAAAACCGTTGACGTTAGGTCAAATCTGAGAGAATTACTCAGAAAGGGCTTTAATAGGGCTATCGAATGCTCTTTTCCGCGGCGCTGTAACTCTATTGGTTCTCGAGTTATGCATTGGCTTCTTGGAAATTTTCGACATTCGACCTGGAAATCGGCGAAATTTTGCCTTCAATGACCTCTGGTGACCTGACCTTTGACCTGACCAAAAAATTGACCGAAGTGATTTCGTCATTATTTTTGACGCTCTTTCGAACGCCGCCTTCCGCGTATCGCTACGTGGCCCAGGAGCCGAGTTACAAGGGGGGGTGTTCAAACACCCCCCCCCCCCAGCAGGGCGTGGAAATCCAGGACCCCCAGCCGGGCGCGGGTTAACAAGCAAATGGCTATCTTCGATTATTGATTATCGTTCCGCATTTTCCAAAATCTTGAACTGAATCTTGGCAATTTCTCGTGACTACTTCACGACCATGATACATGCAACTCTTTAATTGAACTTTTTTAGCCAAACACGTACACATATGATAAAATGAATGCCACCATCGTGTTCTACGCCCCAAATTACCCATAACACATGTGTCACAGGCTGCGAATATCAGTTTTGATTTTCGGGGATATGTGCCTGCCCGGTTGACCTGACCTTGACCCTGACCTATGCTTGACTGGCCCCTACATGGAGCTGACACTCTTGAAGGCCCGTTAGGCGGCACGGGCGGACATCGATAGCAGCGCCTCTATCGGTCACTAGGGAAAGCTTGGCTGTAGGCGACGATATACCGGCTGAGTTGTCACACGTTGAATAGGTTTATAGCCAATAGCCATCCGTCTTGTGAAAAAGTTGAACTTTTAACTTTTGCCTTTAATATTTCTACAGGCAATTTTAGAAGTGTCTTCACATGGATTACAAAACCGTTTAGATTATTGTATTCACTTCAAGCCATCCCTATTGTTCTTGATGATGCGGGAACTATTTCTAATTAGTGTTTCTAGCTTAGTAAAAGAACATACTGTGCAAATGATGAAAAACGCATAAATGGAAGATTTTAAATGCAATTTTCTCTAACAATTAATGGTAAATTCTCTACATATCAAGGAAAAGGTGCATGCTATTTGATAAATTTAAAGTTCTTGGGGCCAGTTGTTTTCTTCTTTTCTTACGTCGCCCCAATGGCCGCGAATACACTTGTGGTAATGCCTATCGCTTATATGATGGATTGTGCACCGTTTTGACTAGAGTTTATGACGAGAGGCGCCCATTGCGAAGTCCTGAAGTCCATGCTACTGAAAGCCCGATTTCAGGTGTTTGACCTGACCTTGACCCGACCTGTGACCTCAAAATTCAACTTTAAAGTACTCATCTGAAGCGTCTCGTCGCGTTCTTTCGTTTGCCGCCTCGTACGTTTCGCTGCGCCTATTGGTTCTCGAGTTATCAGCTGTGGGCGTTTAACGCCCCCCCCCCCCCAGCAAACGGTGGGTGGCGAAATACCCCAGCAACTGCCGGGTTAACCCTCGCCCGCACATGCCATTTTCCCATCCTAGAACGCACATGGGGGGGGGGGTGGTTGCCACCCCCCGCGCCATTTCGTTCCTGTTGGAGTTAGAGCTTCGCAGTAAGACCAAAAAGATTCTTTGGGAAGAGACAAATCCAACGATACCAAGTTTTACCGTCTCAGGTCAGTCATTGACCTTCCAGGTCAGGTCAAACTAAAAAATGTTGCTGTTTTGGGTCACCGTTGGATATCAAGTGCGCTGCTTATCATATACCGATGACGATGCCGTTTTCTGGTGCCAAGCCAGCTAGAACCTCTTTGTCACACTACCCGACCAGATTTTTGCTGCTGAGGTCATTTCAGGTCAAGTTAGGTCAAGGTCAATAATATGTGTTTGTATGTCTGTGTGTGTCTGTGTGTATACTGATGTCTGCACCGATTGTTTATGTGTCCATATTACATGAAATCATGATCTGAGAACCTCTTACCAAAAATGCAGTCTAAAAACTTCACGAAAAGTAAATTTAGCTTGCCTAAAACGCAATTATTGTAGATGACCTAGGATGACCTTGACCCTGACCTTGACATCTGTACATCGTCGAACAACATGTTCCATGATAGGTTGGAGGTAAGATTGGCGAAAAAGGCCGAAATCAAGGTGTCAAAAGCTCACAAGGCCCATGGCCAACGCAAGATGTTGAGAATTGGTCATTTGGGTCCTGACATGACCTGAAAAACAAGGTCATATCTCCGAAACCAAAAAACACAGAAACTTGACATTTTCAGTGGACATCGAGAAAGGATAGTGGAGCAGCTATACGAAAGATCAGGCTTCTAGCTTTAAAAATGTTGAGTGCAGAGAAGAAAAACTACCTGGGGGGGTGGCAACCCCCCCCCCCCATGTGCGGGCGAGGGTTAAAACAGCGAATGATCCCGATAATCCCGGAAAATTATCCCAGATTATCCGGATGCCGAATACACGCTGTGTGCCTATAACACGCGACCCATACCATGGCTGTCCAGAAACTACATCCATGCGTACGGCGCTAACACAATTGATTGTTTTGGGCCTCTTTCGTCTAGCTACCATCACCAGAATTAACTATAATGATTGTATGGTTAAATCTTACTGTAATAGCATAACAATGGCGCCGTCATGACACAAATTGATTCGTTCCACAGTGGGCCAGGACTCCACTGCTCCCAGTTACGACCCGTTGGGCGGTCTGGGTCTGCACCCGACCTCCGCCACCACCTCGGCGACGACAGTGACATCTATCGGCGACCCGCTGAACAGTTCCGGGGGCTCGCAGGGCTTCAACAGTTCCCAGAGCAGCAGCAGGAGCGCCACACGGAGTAACACACCGCCCAGTGACGAGGGTGAGAGAGAGAGGGAGGAGGGGGATAGATGAGGGGAGAATAAAACTTAGAAATGGATAATTTTTGCTGAAGAGTGAAGTTATCGAAATATAGTTTTCCCGGTTCAAATAACCATTACCGGTCCCGGAAAGCCGAATAGATAATGAAAAACATATTTGTGATAAACTACTGATTAGGAAACCCGTACCTACGAGTCGATTCTGGTCAAGGTCTGTTCATGAAATAAATTCAAGGCACCCGAAACCTTGGTGGCGCTTCTTTCTTACATCATAGGATAAGTATGTGCCTTATTTTATATTGCAAATGTCAAACCTATGTACTTTATCTTGATCTTTAGTCCTCTTCTATCACATACCCATAGTCGAGAAGAAGTGTTGAGCGACAGGGCTCCTCTCATGCACTCCGTTCTTGCTGTCAGGGATGGACCGCCGCGCCCCGGGCTACGAAAAGAAGCTTCTCTCTACTCTAGTCGACTATGAGGAGAAGAGGGCTCTGGCCGCTAAGATGCGTCGGGCACCGGTAAGAAAAATCTTTATTGATCGAGTTTATTCATAAGATATCTTTGTTTTATGACCATACGCGATGTGACTGAACCTGTGAGGTCATTCGTGTAAAAATGATAATGTTTTGATTGATTCAATGCTTTGAATGATTCAAATTTCAATGTTTTGATTTAACAGATGTGATTGGCGATTGCAACTTTGAATTCACACTTGTTCGCTATAATCATTACCCATACCGTAACTGTACCCGTGATATAATGCCGATTAAATAAAATATGGGTAAATTTCATTACCCTTGAAAAGGTTACAATAAACGAAACGTCGGCTTATTGTAATATCTTGCATATTTTATGGAATGATTGTCACATTACAACTCAATGCCGATTAAGTTTACCGTAATCAGTCGTTCGACAAAGTATGGTCGTCGTTGATTGCGGATATTTCCTCATACCGAGACTCTTCTCACAGGTGGTGCCCAAACCACGCACTCCGACGGACGTCTGGAGCGGCTACGGCTTCAGTCGCTCCTCGCCGCATTGGCTGCTCAAGGAAGAGATGAGCGCCGTCCTGAAGCCAGAGCCGACGGCGACCTCTGGACAGGTCAGCGCGCGCGGCCGGCCGGAGAGCCGTCGGATTTGGGGACCGACGCTGCAGAGCTGCCGGATTTGGGGACCGACGCTGTAGAGCTGCTGGCTTTGGGGACCGACGCTGAAGGGGGAGCGAATTTAGGGACTGATTTTGTGTAATGAGCGGGTTTGGGGACCTATTTGGTGGAACGAGCGAATTTAGGAAACGAAACAATGGTATAGTGTAGAGCAGTGATATTATGGGACAGAGCTAATGGAGACCAGAGGGCTGTTCACGGACCCTGTGTGCGGTCGGACCGCACACAGCCTCCAAGCTCCGCCCACTGCGTCCCTACGTCAGCCTTGCGTCACCGCACACAGCGACCGCTGTGGCCGGTCGGGACTGGCCACAGCGGACCGTCCACCGCACGCAGCCGTGACGTCAGAGCCGCCTACCCATCCCCTACCCCCACGCCTGCTGGACGTACCGCACACACCGCACGCAGCAGTGTGCGGTGCCCGTGAACACCCCTCAGAGTAGGTAACTGATTTATGGAATGGTTATGGAGAGTTGTATGCTATCCGTGTTATTGGTGACAAACGTTGTATTATACTTACCTATCATTGGCCACTCGCCTTTGACCCCGCCCTCTGACGTCACAGAACATCACCGTGCCGACCAATCCGGTGACGACGACCGCCCCGTCGGCCTGGCCGTCGACCAATGGCAGCGCGGTCGGCAGCCGACTGGGCGGCTACCTCAGCCAATCAAACGTCTTCGACTGCGGCGCGCTCTCCAAACCGGCCAATCCCGTGCGAGATCTGGCCGAACTGCTCGAGGGGATCGACGGACTGCGACAGTACTCTGGTGAGTGATTAGTAGTCTGCTGAAGCCTGAATCCCTACAGCTCCAATAAACAGACAAGTATCTGCTGCTTGTTCGTGTTATAGGTACTTAGTTTATAGCTTGCCAAATGCTGGTCAGATATATCCGATAGTCCGTCTTTTTTTGTAACTATTTGTACACTCCTTTAAAACGTTCGTCATTGCTCTGGTAAATATCAGCATCATATTAGCTTTCTTAAGTAGGTTGTGCACAGCAGCCCGAAAGGTCTTCGCCAGTTCTCTAAAAAGTGTTTAGCTTGTTCTAGTAACGTTTTTAGCGATGTTCGCAGTATTTCTCCGAAAGAACGTGTGTAGGGAGGTAGGACATTAAATTTGTCCAGCGTTGTGCCGTTTCGGTCATCTCCCTGTTTAGTCGTAATCTGCCATTATCTCGCCTTTATCTCGTTTTCCTCTTGATTTAGTATTGTTCACGTCTTAATCTCGCTCTAACGACGCTCTAAATAGATGTGTTTATTTAGGGATGCGCTCTTGCGTGTGTATATTTATGTGCGCTGTTTCTTAGTATTTGCACGTGCCGATTGTGAACTTCAAGTGCATCTTTACCTTGTCCTATGATTGTTTTCCTTATAAGCAATCATAGATTCACTCACCTCATCATAGATCATAGAACTTCACCTCACCTCAGGAATGGCTGCTAGATCGACCGAATGTTTGAACGTGGTTTGAACATCATGTGTGTCAATTGAGTGCATGGTTAGTGTGATGGGATTGTGTTCCCACCCATCCACGTTAACATTTCATATCGCTACCTGTCCTCAATACAATACAATACAATACCATAATACCCCCCTCCCCCTTCAGAGCTATTCCGTGACGAGGAGATCGACCTTCCCGTCTTTATCGCCATGACGGAAGACGACCTGAAGAAGCTTGGCGTCAAGACGGTCGGCGGACGGAAGAAACTGATGATGCTCATCCAGACCTTCAACAGCGGCGATCTGAAGCTGCCCGGAGCCGTCAAGTCCTTCTAGAGGATGCTGCTGGAAGGCAACTCCTTGTTGGTGATGTTGGAAAGGGGATGGAGATGTTGACTTTGGTCACAGGAGTTTATGTGGCTGAGGTAGATGGTTGATGATATCAGGATCTCTATTATGAAAACCAAGATAGCAGCAGCCTGCGGTATATTGTTGTGAAGTGATTCCGTTAATGCAAGAGTATTGAAGTGTGATAGATAGATGTGATCAAGTGTAGAACGTCACGAGATTCGATAGGATTAGACTTAGTGTAAACCAAGGGCGTAGAATGTAGGAAACATGCGAAAACCCAGACCGATACAGAGAGTGGTCAGTCTTGTGATGACGTCATTAGAAGTTTGGTGACGTCATTAGCTCAATGCCCAGTCCGTCCTTTTGAGGCGCGATGTTCGCTGCTGTCGATTGTGTGATGCAAGTGCCTTACGGGTGCCTTCGATCTCCGATATTGCCATAAGAATATTGTCCTGATTTTGTAGTGGCCATTGCATGCTTTAGGCCATGTGTGTAGATTATTAGCACTCAGAATGGCCCTGTTTGCTGTGTGCAGAACGGCCCTGCGAGCATGGATCAGTGGCCTGCTCGGCAATAAGGTCGAGTTTGCGCTCAGCGCGAATGGAGAGTCACCCTTAGTGGCGATAGTTGAGACGGGCACAAAGATCACGTGACAAGACCTTTTCATGACTCCTGCTGTCGCTTCAAATGGGACCCCGAGCACGTGACTGTGTAGGAAGGGCCTTCAGAGCGGCGGTCAGGTCATGACCTTTGACAAAACACTCGCTGACATCAGACAACCGCAGCGCGTTGCTAGGCAACCGGCGCGTCACCACTTGGACGCCATCTTTGGACGAATTGTCTTGACTTTTCCTGGCGGCTTTCGGCCATTTTTGACGTGCCCTCGTGGTCATTTTGTGCGACTTTGTGGCAACTTTGGATGACTTTGCTGACTAGTTGACTTTTGGAGACCCGTGGCGGTTGAAGGCTGTCGAACGGGGCTTCTAGACTGCGCCGTAATTGTGACAGGCGTGCTCCGTCAGATCTGATCCATAATCTACTACCCATAGTGAATCTGTGTGGCATTATTTTCAGGGTTTGCGGCGTGTGTTCCCATCTGAGCGTTTTGCATGCGAAGTCCGCTTGGAAAAGCTCTAATATCGAGAGTTCGTGCTGCTACTTCCCAAATACTCATCCTTCGGGACTGGCTAGTAGTTATCGACTAAGTACTAACATTAGATTTTACGTGTCCTTGTGCGGACAAAATGCCTTCTCAAGTAATCTCCTAGTATAATTTGATTTTACTCACCTTTTCTGTACTGACCTTATTACACAACTCGAACGACCAAAACTGATCATTTTATTCACCTACGTACCCAAATACTAGCTTGAATGTTCTCAAATGCTCGTGTTCCTAGTATACTGTCTATCTTTTACTCCCTGATCGATCTGACTTTATTCTGCCTCGTAGCTATGTAAGCTGTTAGACTTCTGCTTCAATGTGTCGGTTATTTGCTCTAATGCGTCATTTATTTGCGGCAGTGGGCCGGTTTTGTTCGTTACACTCCGCTCGCCGGTTGAAATGATGTAAAGTCGGTTGGACTGTCAATGGGTTCGTCGCTGACTAACTTGGTAAACCTGTGTGTGCTAAAAATCTCCACGACCTAAGAGAGTTAGTTCCTCACACTCCTCGCATTGTCCGCTCGTCTGCAACTCCTCAAAACACTACTCCAAGTGGGGATCCAAAGATCCCAGTAAAATCTCCGTTAATTTCCCAGAAACGGCTCGTTAACTCGCGTTGAGTCGATGGAGTAAGGAGTTTGAGGAGTTTGTGGAGTTTCGTGCCGACGGCTGAGCGCGATTCGCGCCGCCATTTTTAATCTGTGATTCGAATTACTGCTGCGTTTTTCCCGCGACCCTCCCGCTCTCGAAGTCACGAAAACCATCGCCTGTGCTATTGTGTCTATTGGTACCTCGACTCGAACGATGGCTCAAGAATCTCGAATAGGTCGCTCTGCTGCTGACTGATGACATGACAGCGTGGCAGAAGTGACAGATATGACAGACGGCGATAATCTGTCATGTCCTCGCGAGGCATGACGTGTTTGATAGTGTTTGTTTGTTCGCGTTGTTTGCGTTAGTTATGTTTGTGCGCTGATTTTGGTTAATAAAGTTCCGTTTGCTGGCATGGAAACGTGATTTTTGTAGACGACATGCAGTTATGAAGGTGCAAGCTAGCTGAAGTGGAGAGAAAGGTGAATTGAGCTGAATAGAAAGACTGGACAAACTGAAGAGTGAAGACAAAATATAGTACCTATTGCCCAACTGGAAAGAAACCAACAAAGTCCTTACCGTTCCCGAGCGAAAGTCTGTTTCTTTCGTTTCCAATGTTATCCTCATGGAGCACGTGAGCGGTGAGCACAAGTCAAGGGCGCACCGGTAGCCGCATCTTGTCCAAAATTTGGTACGAGCTACATGTAGAGGTGGCCAATATCTACTGAAAAGCTTCACGGCCGCGGGCGGTAGATCAACAGACGACGCCGCAAGAAGCGCTGCAAAGCGACTACGCCGTACACGGTGGCGGCGGCGGCAGATTATTTCGGATTTATGTTATGTATTATTCATAAAGTCTTTTCGGAGAAAAAATCGTCTATGGCCTAGGTATGGGAAGGGGCGAAGAAGTATAGATTGATAAGGCGAGGCGACATCTGAGCGGGTCCTCTCTCTCTCTCCTCTCTCTCTCTCTCTCTCTCTCTCTCTCTCTCTCTCTCTCTCTCTCTCTCTCTCTCTCTCTCTCTCTCGCTCTCGCTCTCGCTCTCGCTCTCGCTCTCGCTCTCGCTCTCGCTCTCGCTCTCGCTCTCGCTCTCGCTCTCGCTCTCTCGCTCTCTCGCTCTCTCGCTCTCTCGCTCTCTCGCTCTCTCGCTCTCTCGCTCTCTCGCTCTCTCGCTCTCTCGCTCTCTCGCTCTCTCGCTCTCTCGCTCTCCTTCCCTCACCTTCCCTCACCTTCCATTCAACCCTCCAACCCTTCTCCATTCCCCTCCCTCTACTAATCTAGGACCAACTCAGGTCAGGCTAGGCCCAGACCAGTCCAGACCCAGACCCGGACTAGATTCCGACCCAGACCGGACCAGACACTTACACAAACCAAGGGAAAGACCAGGCCAAGATCCAGACTATATCCAGACCAGACCCAGACCAGACTCAGAACAGGACCAGGCACATACCAAGACCAGACCCATACTCAGACCAGACTCAATACACAAACCAGACCCATACACAGACCAGACCCATACCCCGACCAGACCCATACCCAGACCAGACCCATACCCAGACCAGACCCATACCCAGACCAGACCCATACCCAGACCAGACCCATACCCCGACCAGACCCATACCCCGACCAGACAGACCCAGACCAGGCCAGGCCCACACATTATCCTGACCTCACCCAGACAGGATAGTGATAGTGGAGGCGGCTGGCGCCCTTTCAAGGTTCGTCTGGATTCCTCTCGTGTCATTTAGCGGACCGAGAACGCCAACAATCCACTCTATCTCTGAGGGATTGAACGGAAGGCGCCAGCCAGTGTTTGGAATGACGACTTTGATCTTGACTGATGTGTGAACTTCCGGTAGACAGGGAACTTCCGGTAGACGGTGTCGAGCGTCTGGCTGGGATGAAACCATGCACAGCGAAACGAAAGCTAAGCCTTGTTCCCGGTTTTATTTTCTATGCTTCAAAAATTTCAGGCCTAGAAGCTAGCAGATCCGAGGCCAGGACGGTTTGGAAGAGACGATTTCGTTCTAAGTGGATAGAGGATCACAAGCATTTGCAGTTTAGTAACTGAGTTAGTTTACTGAGTTAACTATCAATTTGGCACGAGCTATCTCGACTACCGTGGATAAACGAGAAAACAAAAAACGAGTTCGAATGAAAGTTAGCGAATGTGAATTTACCTGACCCCAGAGGTCACCGATTGACCTGAGGGCTGAGACCTTAAAATCGGTTACCGATCGCTGCGTCTCGTAATGGCGTACACGCTCTTTTTTCGCTAGGCTCTAGCTCACTTAGGAAAAAACGGCAAGGGTGTCATACCAATCCCCATCACCCCATTGCATAAAGAAAACCGATTGTTCCGGTGAGGGCATGCTTCAGTGGTGCGTCGGAGTGTTTACTGCTAAGTTTCCAGAAACATTAACCCTTGCCGGGCCGGCGCTCCGCGACTTCCCGGCGCCGGGCCAGGGGGTGTCTGAACACCCCCCCCCCCCCGTCTAACTCGGCTGCTGGGCCACGTAGCGACACGCAGTAAGCGGCATTCGAAAGAGCGTAAAAAAATGACTGAAATAATTCGATCATTTTTTGGGTCAGATCAAAAGTCAGGTCGCCGGAGGTCATCAAAGGTCAAATTTAGTCCATTTCAACAATTTTGAAAAATGCCGATGGCTAACTCGGAAGCCAATAGAGCTGCAGTGCCGCGGAAAAGCACATTCGATAGTTCTTTTACACACCTTTCTGGACATTGTTCTTCAGAAGGACGGTTTAGCCTCCAGAGAGTAAAAACTCCAAAAATAGTAGTTTTAATTAAAAAAAGTTTTTTTCTGCAATATCTTTTGACAAGACAGTGACGACATTGATTTTGCCAGCATCGTGTTCCTCTCGTCGAGATGCGTCGAATGAACTATAATTTGACCTTTAAAATCGTTTTGAAAATTTGACCAAGGTCATGACCTGACCAGAAAGGGTCATGTGGCATATCAGTCGATCCGTATCATCGAGCTGAACACATATGAGGTGTTTTATCTCTCACGCTGTAGCATGTCTATCAAGAGTTTTCTTCAAAAAAAATTGCTGGGGACCTTTCATGACCTGTTATGACCTCAGGGACAAAAGGAGAGGTCACATGTGCTATATTCCGATCCAGCTTGTCGAATTTACCTGTAACTGGATGTTAGAGAGTGCTTGGAATGGCGTTCGTTAAAAAGAAAGGCTCTTTTCAATATTCTCCCATTGACTTATGATGGAGAGGTCGCAAAATTTACCGGACTGTAGGTCACGGATATCAAAATTCCGCCGTGATATAGATTTGTACGTACTGCTAGTGCTGGTGTTATCAATCGCTGTGAAAGTTTCAAGCTGATCGTTCAGGCGGTGTAGCTATGACGAGGATTCTAACTTTTTCTGAAGTGAGGTCACTTGACGTGACCTGGTGACCTGACCTTGAGAGCCTTGGGTCTGAAATTTTCACAATATGGGTGGAAAGAGGCATGAACAGGTTTCCACGCCGCCATTTTCTAGATGTCTGCGAAAAACCACAAGGGGGTGTTCAGGGGGGGGGGGGGGCGGTGCGGGTTAATTTATCTGCGTTCGCTATACCTATGTTGATATCTAACAAGAACTACCAAAGCCTTCACCTTGGGTACAGGTGATTCCTTTGAGTGCATCAGGGCATTGAGGACCCATTGTGACTATACTTAGTGAAGAAATTAAAACAATTAATGCTGTTAAACTTTTATTAAGTCTGTCCTTTAGTTACTTTTAGCCCCAAGGAGTACGGAGAGTACTCTCTCGTTTGTTCCTGAATTATAAATGCCTAAACAAGACAAAACTCGAACGAAACTAAGCCAATTTTCCGGAAGTGGAACACCGTCTCGGGACATAGTTAGATCTTTGTACAATGGCTCCTCGGCTGCTGGGATGGCAAAACTCGTCGTCCTTGTTATAGGGACCGGGTCCATTGGATGACCGCTATGTCCTCCCTCCCCTCGCCTCCCTCCCTCTGTCCTCTCTATCCTCTCTGCCCCTGGTGTGACGCCCATCCAGAGGACACGTGGGGCGCAGGAAGGTCGAAATTAACGACCCCGGAAGGACGGGAGAGGGAGGGGAGGAAGGGGAGGGGAACGTGGTGTCAGGTTGGCGGGGTCCCGTTTCGACTTTACTCTAACGACTTTACACTAACAACAGACCCTAATGTCCGCCAAATTTGAGCCGGCAACAGCAATGAATGCAGCGTCGGATTTAGAATATCGCTGAACGGAAGGCGGAAACCACGGGTCAGTGCGGACATCACACCCATAGAGGTTTTGTCTGACTACTGATTTAATGACCTCAGTTAAGTTCAGCTTATTTTGTAAGCATGATGGCACCAACCCTGAGCTGCCTATTGCACGACCGTGTCCTCATAAACAACAAACTCTGATTAGCGTTGGTTCGGACTCTGTCAATTGGTACGTCAATGCAAACATTTGACCTAAATTTATTGTTGAGAAAAAAATGAAATAGAAAACAAACGCTTGAAAGCGTGTAGCCCTGTATAAACAGAAATTGTGATGATTTGCTCAAGTAACAATATGCACGCCTGCACACTAATGTATTTGCACATATCTTTTTTTTTCTACTAATAGTCCGTTACCCATGATCAGGCAACCAGGAGTGCCCCCACCCTCAGTCCCAGCGACGCACAGAACCCTTACGTTAACACCAAAATAAAAATCAAAGTTGAAAAGTCGCGGCACTCCCTGCTAAGGAGAGGAAAAAACATAAAAGAAGCGGAATTGACTACGTATGATATTATTTAACTTGGTTAGTAGATACAGAGAGCCATAGTGGTTAATGCCAAATCTAGCATCAACTGTCCGCTAAGGGTTCAATCGTACATTGTTAGTGAGGAACACGCACACACTCACTTGGAAGGGGACATTAGTGGGGTAAATCAGGTCTGGTCTAATTCATGCATGTTGTCTTGCCATCCCTCCCGATGCCCTCCAGCTAAGCCGAGCTTGTTGCAAGAGAGTCATCGGGAGAGAGAAAGCGTGTAGCCCTGTACAGAACGTACAGGGCTACACGCTTTATTAGCGACGCACAGAACCCTTACAACTTGTAATCGCCGGTCTTCAGATGTCGCACAACTAATATATCTTGCACATTTGTGGTACGAATGAATTTAGTTTTTATTAAATACCTTGCATTTAAACTAAGTATGTGATGATTTTGGCCCTTAGCCGCTATTCCCACCTCTCATCACCTACCTGTTGAGGGATTTGCATTTTTTTAAATAGCACCATTGCAACGGACAATAGTAATCCATGCGTGTTTTATGTAATCAAATGATGTATGTTGCAGATGCAATAAAAATATATTACCCGATGTAACGCGACTGTAGCTCTCGGGCGATGACCTTTAGGGGAGAGTGGGGCAAA